GGCGAAATATCGCCGATATTATCGTTTTTTTGGAGATCAAAATTTTTTTTAACTATCCAAATGATTTTCGTCAAAATATCGCGATATTTTTAAAATTATCGATATTATCGTAAAATAATATTCAAAAATATTTAAAAATGTTGAAAATCTCAACATACACTACACTTGATCAAATCCCCCAGAGGCTAACCAAGACCTGCTTTTCTCACCATGTGAATGTGCCTTTTATAGGCGTTCTTGGCTTGCTCACTGCCCTCGCTGGGCGATGTGGGACTCGACCAAGGAAAAAAAATAGGAATTTCGGCCGAAAATCCACACCCACTTTAAACGGCCATAACTTTGTCAAAACTCAACAAAATCAAGCAAGACAACAACGAAAGTTGTAGCCCTCGAAGAGACGAAGAGAATGGTACCTCACACAACGTCTGAATTGTCGTGGTTTGGCCGGAAAATTCCTCGAAAGTCACTGAGGTCGCCGGAAACTGGGTAAGATTCAAATGAGTATAACTTTTTCAATACTCAACGAAATTGAGTGAAACAAAAATAAAAGTTGTACTACTCGACGAGACGAAGAGATTGATACCTTGAACGGCAGCCAACTCGCCGTGGTTTGGCCGGAAATTGCCTCGAAAGCCACTGAGATCGCCGGAAACTGGGTAAGATTCAAATGAGTATAACGTTTTCAATACACAACGAAATTGAGTGAAACAAAAAGGAAAGTTGTAGCCCTCGAAGAGACGAAGAGAATGGTACCTCACACGACTTCTGACTCGTTGTGGTTTGGCCGGAAATTGCCTCGAAAGCCACTGAGGTCGCCGGAAACTGGGTAAGATTCAAATGAGTATAACTTTTTCAATACTCAACGAAATTGAGTGAAATAAAAAGGAAAGTTGTACTACTCGACGAGACGAAGAGATTGATACCTTGCACGCCGGCTAACTCGCCGTGGTTTGGCCAGAAAACCAAAACGTATTGCCTCAAGGGCTGGTACATGTGAACTTGTGACTCCAACTAGGTAAGAGCCAGATCTAATTTGGGGCCTTCTATCCTATATTTGTGGACAACCATCAAATGCTAAAGATTAAACAAACATAATATGTTCTACTGCTTAGCAAAAAAAGCTACAAACCCTTTGCTTATCAGCAAAAAAAGACAAGTCCTTGCACTAGATATACTTTCAAATTACGTTGAGTAGCAACCTGATATATGTATTCGGACGAATTATAAAACAATTGACACACTCCTGACTTCCAAAATTCAATTCTTTTACTTTATATAAACTTGAAAAAACATAATCGGCATCCAAATTAAAGTTTAGTCTTATTCAATGTATTGATTTTCAATCGTTAATTGATATACTATAATTTGGAACATCAACGCCTAGACGCATGCTTATGTGTAAGAAATTTAAAGTGTCAAATTCGGCACATTATTCTTCATCATTTTATTCACTTCCCTTTTTTTTTTTTAATATCCTAAATAAAACCTCCAAATATTGTACTAATTCATTATATATAAATGATTATGGTGTGTTTAGACTTCTTTCATTAATTACTACATATTTTCTACACTCACAATGTTTGTCAGCTCGCTATATAATCAACTTGATAATGTTAAATCCATCATGCAATGCATTTCTTTCCAATTTTTTGTGATAAACTAATAGATAATTGACTAAATAAACATCCTACAAAGTTTCAATAAAAATTTCCAAGTTTTTCTTACAATTTCCGTGGTTTCCATGTAATTTTTATCGATATCGATATTTTACCGATATTTCCATCGATATTTCCGTGTTTTCAGACTACCGATATTTCCGATATTACCGATATTTTCTTCCTTGATTACTACAATGCCCATCTTCCCTATCCTTTCTTCTTTTCGGCCTCTTCAACTTTATGTTTTTCAACTAAATTGCAGTAAAACTCACCCCACCGACAATAGAAAGAACAATCCTTCATTTTCATTATTAATTATTATTTTGATACAATCAGACACCATATCTCCTCAAGTCTCGTTCTGTATAGTTAAAAATAAATAAATAAAAATATAAAATTATAAAAAAAAAAATAAAAAAAAGAGAGAACGGTAAGCAGACAGGCAATATCCTGGACCAGATAACGATGCAAATTTTGTAGGGATGGATGACGACCACTAAAAATCTCTATTTGGTATTAATATTTGCATGATTTTAGGAAGGATTTCATAATTGTGGTTATTAAAATTTTTAATTAATACTGAAACTTAACATTTTGTCATTCAATCAAAATATTCAGATTAATAAAGTTTCAATCTAAGATTTTAGTTAATCAGGTGCCGTTTGGTACGTGGGACGGGACGGGACGGGACGAGTCGTTCCGTCCCATGTTTGATGTGCCTAAAAACTGTGGAACGGGTTGTCCCATGGGATGAAATTTGGCTGATTTTTCGTTCCACCTCTTCGCCCTGGAACAACTCGTTCCACATCCGTGGGACACAAATTTATAACATTTTATAACAAAATTTCTCTTTATCTTTTTCAATATTTACATCATCTGTTCCGTCCTGTTCCGTCTCGTCCCGTCCCGTCCCGTTCTGTTCCGTCTCGTCCCTTCCCGTCTTGTTCCGTCCCGTCTGCGTACCAAATGGTACCTCTCAAGGACCGGAACCAAAGTTTCCTTTTTTATAATGTTTGTGTCTTTCATTTACGATTAACAAATCTTTATTATGTAGAGCCAAAAATAATCTCAAAAATCCTGAAGGCGACATGTGAACTTTATCCCGAAGAAGACAATATTCTCCTCAATAAATGGGTAGTGCACACAAACACTCCCACATGCAGCTTAGCATCCCTCGAAATTTAAGCAGTGGACTATGATTGCTCAAAGTTCCCCTACTCGTGGCATGAAAAAGTCAAGGACATTAGATTAATCACCAAATCATATCTTTAACATATTCTTAATTGAAGATCAACTCCATCAAGTAAGGAATCCTCCTCGTAACCAAGTAAGGATACTTCCACCATTGTTCCAAGATATTTTCTCTTAATTAATATATTGGGAATATTCTTTCCTAATTCATCCAATGGAGCGTATTTATCAAATATAGTCAAAATTAACTCTTAATTTCAAAAATGTCACTTTTTTATAATTAAAAAATTCAAATATATCCAAAATTCCATTTAAATAGAAACAAATACCCACAAATTTAACAATACAATAAATTAAAGACTTTTTAGCCAAAATGGTTTGTGACATTAACGTAACTCCTTAGCCTGATCCTTAACAATGAAAATCAATAGTAGTGTCCTTGAATTTGTCTATCGTGAATCATTATAGTCTTTCTCTAAATTTGTCCATCGTGATCATTTTAGTATTTCCGTGAAAATCTGTCAATTGCTCTATTAGTGAGATAATGTGGCGCCACAAGGATCTCACAAATACAATTATATAAAGACATGTGGATTAATTTTAAAAATTGTTTTTATATTTAAAACTGAAAATCATAGTAGTAAGAAAAATAAAAATTATAATTAAAAAATAAAAAAATTAAAAGAAGAAGTCGTCTTCTTCAGTTGGTAGGTAAAAGCCAACAGACATGCCCAAATCAAAAACCCTCAACCTACCTAAACCCTTATTCCGTCTTCCAAACCAAATTTCTGCATGCTGAGATAAATTTAGTGGTTCTTTCTTAAAATTTTCCTTTTCCAATTGGGTTCGAAGATTATAGAGAATTGATGCAATTCGGAAAGAGTTTAAGTGTCTATGAATTGGTGACCGGGTCGTGGGAAGAAACAAGGCATTGAAGGCATGATTGCAATTTTGCTGCTCTTACGGTAACCGTGATGGCACTCAATGTCGGTGATGAGGGGGTTGAAGAGGATAGGGTTATGGTGGTGGAGTGTAAGAGCGAAGGTGAAGTTGGACCGGAACTTGAGGCGATGGTGGCTTAAAAGCCTTTAATTTATTTGATTGTTACATTTGCGGGTATTTGTGTCTATTTAAGTGAAATTTTGGATATATTTGAATTTTTTTTATAAAAGTAATGTTTTTGAAATTAAGGATTAATTTTTGGCTATATTTGATAAATACTCTCCAATGGATGACACACCTTACCTTGGTCAATTGGACGCCACCATGTGTAGGGCAAAACTGTAACCCTGGTCGGCCTCCTATAAATACCTCCATCTCCACCAAATTTTGGTAAGCTTTTTGCTACGTATACAAGCCCTAAACACTTCACTCTTTTCAAAGATATTAACTTAAGCATGGAAGATCTATTGGCCAACCATCCCTCTCCTCTTACAGAAAATCTGGTTGTCTCATTTGAGATCCCTAATTCCACCACACCCACCGCACAATTGCATCGTGGACACACTCGGCAAACATCGGTGAGAACAGAGAGCTTGATTGCGGGAGATCCATAACATACTAAAAACTCAAATCCTTCTCTCTTGCCATCGATCTTCCAGAGGGTCCCAATTCCCATTCCATGTGGTTTACTTTCATCCTCATATGAAATCTTCTAGTCCCAATTTTCATACCCTTTATTTTACTTTCCTCCACATAGGATGAGCATGAAACAGAAACAACTTCGAAATTCCCTTTCTTTCCATTCCATATGCTTCATCTGAAATTGCCAAGCTCCTGCAAGACACCTCTTGGTCTTGGGTTTGAAATTTGGTGTGCTTTTGCTGCTCTATTGTTGACAAAACCAAAAACCTTGCAAACGGAATTGGCTGACGGAATCGGGTTTTCGTTAAGGGCACGAGTTGGAAACTTATTTATTTCGTGTTGGGCTTTTAACTCAGCCCATGTGTGTGTTCAATATTTATGAGATCTCATAAAGATTAGTTTTGTCCTTATGATTAAATATGAAAGGTGAAGCCTTTATTATTAAATAATATTATAACGTAGTTTGTGGTTAAATTAAACTTAGTACAAGCCATTTTCATTAAAGCCCCATACTTATAAGACGGGGACGGAAGAAAACAAAACCCTATAACCCAAGAAACAAGGAAAAATGAGGGATGAAAGTTCAAAATAGATGGCCTGTTGCAGTCCCCCTCCCATCCGCATGCAGTTGGATGGAAAAGACCAAGATCCTTCGTTATCTAGTTGCTCCATGCCTGTATTTACCTCAAGCTAGGCCTTCACCATTAGTCCAAAAGTTGAATTTTTTTTATTGATTTTCTATGTTATTTCTATGATGAAGTTCCGCTACTACGCGGTTCCCCGCTCTTTCTTCCTCCCCCTTCATTGGATCGCTTCCTCGCCACTGAATAGAGTTGCATAGTTGTTTATGTACCAAAAAAAAATCCAATCAACCAAAAAGTCTGACCAGCTAGATAGGCAGTGAAAATGGCTGAAATTGCCATTCCACTAGCACTGGTGCTAATTGAAAATTTCAAGATTCCCAACCTCAATCTTTCAAGCGATGCCAGGGCTGATGTTAAAAGAGCCAAGACAATTTTGCGGAGGATGCGAGCCTATCTGACGGACTGCTCATCGAAACAGATCGGTGAAAGCTCCCAAGTGTTTCAAAATCATGCAAAAGAGGTCCAAGATGAAGTTTACGACATTGAGGATGCTCTTTCCATGTTTTTGGTTAAGATTCCTCATCACTACCATAGCAATTTAATCTCTAGATCTGCTCACAACGCTAAACATTACCCTTCTGAATGGATAGCACGCATACAGTTGTCGCGCATGCTCAAACAAATCGAAGAAAGGTTTCCACCAAATTTAGATTCACTTATTGACCGCCTACAAATTGCCAACACAGGATCTGAAGAAGATAATAATAATTTGGCTTATCACCAAGTTGTGGAAGAAGATGAAATTGTGGGGTTTGAGACGGCTATCACAAAACTCATCCAACAGTTGAGAGAAGAAGAATGTATCAGTCAAGGGCATCTCATGATTTCAATTGTTGGTCCTGGTGGCTCAGGCAAAACCACCCTAGTAAAAAATGTTTATGAGAGAAGAAGCGTGCAGGCTGCCTTTGATTGCCATGCTTTTGTTGAAGTGCCGCGCTCCTTTGAATTGCGAATGCTCTTGCTAACCATGCTGAGAAAATTTGAAGCCCAAAGTATGCAGGAACCTGTAGCTGAGCATCATCATCATCCTGAAGAGAAATTGAGACAAATTCTGGAGAAAAAGAAGTATTTGGTGGTTTTGGATAATGTTTGGAGCGAACAAGATTTGACACGTATAGTAAATGCTCTGCCAAAAGGTTTGTCTGGGAGTAAAATAATCACAACTACTCGGGACTCTAATATTGTAGCCTCTTGGCATACAAGTTCTGACGATTATATCCATGATTTGAGTAACGGATTATCCTCCAAAGAAGCCAATAAACTATTCTGCAAAAAGGCTTTTCACGGAAATTGGGACAACTGTCCAAAAGAGCTTGTGGAGTTGGCTCAAATAATCATCAGTGATTGTGGAGGCCTGCCCCTTGCAATTTCTACATTCGGTACTTTCCTAGCTTGGCAGAAGCCACGGAATTTTGTGAAGTGGAAGAAGTTCCATGATAGCTTTGGCTCCAATCTTCAGATTGTTAGTCAAGCTTGGGAGCCAAGTTATAGGGACCTGCCATACCATCTCAAAAGTTGTTTGTTGTACTTCAGCATGTTTCCAGAAGACAACTCTATCAAGCGTGAGAGGCTAATTCGCTTGTGGGTAGCCGAAGGATTTGTGAAGCAAGGAGGGAGAGCCACCATGGAGGAGGTTGCAGATGGTTATCTAAATCAACTCATCGGTAGAAAGTTGGTTGATGTGAGTTCAAGAGAGATCGATGGACAAGTAAGGAGTTGTCGTGTTTCCAACCTCGTTTGCAAGTTCATCATGTCAAAAGTGGAGGGTTTTGTCACTGTGTTGGAATCAAGCAACACTCGGGCAAGTACTAGCAGTACTAATTCAGGTGAGAAAATCCGACGCCTTTCTGCACATTATGTTTCTATAAAAGATTTATTAAGAAGAGGTGGAGAATTGAATCAAACACGTACCTTACTAGTGTTTGGCCCTTCCCAGCAGGCTCAATGTGATGAGGTTGGAAGGGTACTTAATACTCTTAAATATTTAAGGGTTTTAGATTTGAAAGGCATTCCTTTAGAGGACTTTCCAAAATCTATTTCTGGTCTCATTCTCTTAAAGTACATAAGTATGAGGAAAACCAAAATCAAAAGAGTCCCAAGTTCCATAAACCGGCTTGCTCATTTGGAAACTTTAGATCTTAAGCACACCCAGGTGACCAAATTACCAGAAGAGATTTATAAGCTCTACAATATGCGCCATCTTTTAGTGAGTCGTGGCTGTGATGGTGATGATGATGGACCCGCTCAAGGAGTAGAGATTTCTGCAGGCAACATTGGAGCTTTATCCGAATTACAAAAGTTGTCACTGATTAAGGTGGGAAACAACAGAACAATACTAAAAGCCTTAGCAGAACTAACTGGTCTCAGAAAGTTGGGCTTGACAGATCTCATAATTGAACATGGAACAGAGTTGTGTTGCGCTATTGAGAAAATGGGAAGTCTTTCAACACTTGAATTGAGATCAACAAACGAGGAGGAATATCTTGAGTTGGATCATCATATGGAATCCCCTCCTCGGTCTCTAGAACGCCTCAGTTTGAAAGGGAGGCTAAGATGTTTGCCGCAATGGGTTCCCATGCTTGATAGTGTAGTGAAGATTTCCCTAATGGGGTCAAAACTTGATGCTGATGCCAACCCACTCAAGCCCCTTCAAGCATTGCCGAATATGATGGAGCTTCATTTGGTTTGCTATTATACCGGACAAGTGTTAGAATTTGAGGCTAAAACGTTCATGAAGCTAAAGATATTAAGTATCAAACAATTTGATCAACTACATACCATGAAAGTTGAGTCTGGAGCAATGCCTAATCTTAAGAAGGTAACCCTGTCCAATTGTAAGAGTTTGAATTTACCTCCACTCGGCATGGAGGGTCTACGGGAACTCGAGGAACTGTTTCTCCATGACATGCCCACTGTACTCATTGCCAAGCTTCAAAGGGATGGTGAAGATCGTCAGGCGGTTGAGCATATTCCAGTCATCCATTCTTTTAATCTCAGGACTGGATTCCAAAATCTTTCTCAAGTGAGTAAGCATTCAATTTCTTTATTTGGTGATCAATATTTTTCAGCAACTTCTCGAAAATTGTAGTTTGCATTTTTGACCCTCTTGTTTATTCTCTAGGCAACAGCGCGGGGGTGAGAAGGGAGGAGAAACTGAAGGCGGCAATGGCTCGAAAAACTTCAACAAAGTGAAGGACACAAGCCGGCGGAGCGAGTCCACTGCCATTACTCTTTCAGATGCTTATGGTTTTTACCATAGTATTTCTTAAAATAATGTGTGGATAAAGCTGAGCTATATTGACATATTTGTCAGCTGTGTTCGGCTTTATCTTACACAATGCATCAAACATACTTGACACTTTTTGATGCAAAAACTAATTACTTGTTTTGCTTAGTTTGTAATTATTTTCAAATGTTAAATGTGAGGTGTATGAGCATGTACCATTAAACATTCATAAATATATATGCTTTCAAAGTTTCAAACTCTCGTGGCTTTCTTCAATCAAAAGAGTAAGGCATACATACAAGTAGGTAGACTGAAAAAGATTAGGTATAATATATCTTCCATCAATGCCTCAGTGTGTTTGCCGTCGTTGAGAGAAATAGCTAGCTTAAAAATTCAAAGGTTCCGTATTTTTTAGTCTTTCACACATCTTTGTTTCATTATGTTCATTGTATCTGTTTGATTTGTTCAATCTGCTTATAAAAATAAAAACAGTGTGTGTGATACTAAAAATAGTAGGTAAAAATCAGCTCCATATATAATATATTGGTTAATAAAAGAAATCTGATAAGGAAATCCAACCTATCTAATTAATTCGGTGGACTGTTGATGAAAAGATGTGATAGTTTTTCGTTTTTTCGGCAACTTCTTTTGAGTATGGACAAGTCTACATTTTCCAAGTTCTAGGGCCAAACTAGCTAGCTAGGGAGGGATCATGAACAAGTCAATATATTAGAACATAGTTGTAGTTGTGTTGTGGATTGACAAAATGGAGAGATCAACACTTGAACTGAGATCAACAACGAGGAGGAATATCTTGATTTGAATAACGACTTGGGGTTGCATGTGGCTTCTAGAGTGCCTATACCAAATTTTTGTTTAGTAGGTTGATACCTCCATATATTTATATAGTAGTCTGAATACCAAATTTTTTTAATAACTAGGTTGAGAGCTTCATAGGATATACATTACTATAAATATATGGAGGTCTCAACCTACTAAACAAAAATTTGGTATTGGCACTCTAGAAGACACATGCAACCCTCAAATTGTAATTATGTATCTTTTACGCTTTGAGAAAGGCCGAGTCCGAGATGATTTTTTATTGAGCGTGTCAATTACAATTTCTTATTGGCTGCTTGAACTTTTCATAAAATTTGATGAAGGGAAAATTATCTCTCCCATAATCTGAAAAAAGTTGGTGTTCATGCGCCCTTTCAGGCTATTGGGCGGACTCCTTTTTTTAATATAACAGTACATTAACATATTAAGGAGATAAGAGAATAAATTGGTTGCAAACTTGTTACTCATGATATTCAAATTTAAAACAATTTACTTACAAATGAAAAAAAAAAAAATAGTACTGGGTCGTATAATGGCTATTTTGCTTTCAATAGTCGGAAACCAAGTTCTAATGTCATTCGAGAGAACTTTCTTTCAAATATTCAGAGATTGGCTTGTCAGTTTCAGATTATTTATTTCAGCTATATATATTAGGAGGCAAATTTATTGCTGCTTACAAAGATTGGTCAATGTTCCTCGAATATTCACTGTTGGCTCCAATCTCTTCCTTGAAATTCTCACTTGTCATGGCTTTGTTTGTTTTTTTGTTTTGTTTTTTGTTTTTTTTCAAAATAGAGGACCAAATGGTTTTGTCACAGGAGTCCCCCTTTTGAGAATCAGAAAGACCACTCCTCATGGGCACCATCATCAGGTGATTTATCAGCGCCATGAGTTGAACTCAAGATGTGCTATGTGAAATACGGGTTTAAAATTTGTTTGAACCATCTAGTGATTTGGTTTTTGTTTACCTTATTTTTTCTGTAATTTTTCTTTTTATTATATAAAAAGCTTTTCTTATTTAAAACATACGAATGGCATTTCAAGATTAAAAGAGAAAAATTAATAAAACAAAAAGTCGACACCAGTACTACTGTTTCCACTTGTAAATTAAAAGATCTCATCTACAATTTTCATGAATGAGGAACAGCTTAATACAAGCAGGCTAAATAAATAAATAAAAATCAAGTCAAAATGGATGGCCTGTTGTAACCTACGCCTTCCATTAGGAACAAAGACCAAGACTTTTCTCAATCTAGTTCTGTCACATACCTTTCACAATCAAGTCAAAATGTGTGAATATCAAGTAACTAGGTTGAGAGCTTCATATGATATTACTTTAAGTCTAAAGAAGGATTTCAATTGCACTATTCAAATGAACAGTGTTTGGATTCGAATTTTAGTTTAATTATGGCCATGCCACTGCTTTACAGAGTTGCCTTTGTAGTTTGGACCCGATTTTTGCTCTATTTACGGCTATGCCAGTGCTTTAATGAGTGTTCGTTGTGGAAGGTTTGGGTTCGAGAGGCCATGCCGCCTCTAGGATAGAGAGAGAGGGAGGAGAGGGAGGCCATGCTGATGGAGATAAAGATAGAGATAGAGATAGGAGAGGGAGACAGAGACAGAGCGAAAGAGAGAGAAGGAAATGGAAGAGTGGGGATCTTAGTGCCATTGCTGCATATCCTTGATTTCATGAGTGGGAGAGGGGGTACATTCAGAGAAAAGCATGGGGGTGTCGGCCGAGCTCAGGTACAATTGTTGTTTTCTGTGGGTGGACATGTTGATGGCAGTGTTGACGGAGTATCTATCGAAGTGAGTCGACGAAATGCTCGACTCCGGAATGTTTGAAGAGTTGGCCGAGTTCAGCACTCAGCAGCCAGAGCAGCGACATCTCTCTTCCTCATTGCAAAATGGGTGTTTTCAGGGTGAGCCGCAATGCTCTTAATTTCAAATAATGGGTTTGTGTTACTGTGCAGATTTGGCTAACTTCACATTTAGTTTCTTGGAATTGTTCTTTATTTTTGTTGACCCTAAACACTACCAAACCTACGTGGCGCGCAGGCCGAATAACTAATGAGCTAACTATGTCCTTCGGTTGTATGCAGGGCGTGCCAACTCGTCGGCCGAGCTCGACCGAAGAGTAAAATGTGTTGATGTTGCGTTGACCGCGCGGTTGACTTCTCGATCTCACGACTACGGCCGAGGAAGGAACACTCTTGACCTTCAGGTTCTAGAGCATGAATACAAGGTTGCTAGTTTTGCGAAGTTCACGGATAGTCGGCGCCAGGCTCGGTCTCAGTTATATTAGTCGTGAGAATATATCTACACCGAACCGGTACCAGACTGTACAGACACAAATACTCGAAAGAGATAAATGTCTTGATGGTGAATGTAGTTGGGCTATCGCCATATTGAACTCTAAAATGTACTTATGAGTATCCAATCATAAAACAACTCGGCGTTCAACGAGCTGAGCCCAGTAATCTGTAACACCTCACTTCGCCGAGAAGGCTAATGAGATGACCTATGCCGATAAGAATTCAGAAACCTTTCTCGACCGAGACTTGGGTAGATAACCAATCGGCCTTGACGCAGTGTTATTTATCCAAACTGAAGGTGCTTCGCGGTCGACTGATTCTACAGCAACAACATTGTTTATCCAAACTGAAAATGTTCGCCAGTTGCCTCCATAGTGTTGTTTATCCAAACTGAAGGTGTGTCGGCGAAAAAGAAAGTAAAAAATCTTAAAGTTGTTGAGAGGTTTCGCGTAGAGCGATGGTTTGCACAGGGCAGTTTGTGTGTTGAATTGGAGGGGGTTGCATGTTGCATGGAGTCTTGTATTTATAGTATTCATATTTTCTGCTTGGCAAGGTCTGATAATATTGTAGAGTCTAGCTGTAACTCAAACTCGCGGAACAAAAATTGATCCGTGTCAGAGGCCTATCCTTCAGATTGCTATTCGTGGTTTTAAACCTATCTAGGCTTCTAGGCTTATCACATCATAATCAGAACTCCCATCCATGCCTTGCTTTATCCCATTAAAACTCCCAATGCAACTATAAAACTTTCTTTTCCATGATATCTGTTAAGGTACAACTACGCATGTAGTGTGAATTGCAATATGTCACTATAATCCAACTTTTGTACGACAATAGTCTTCAATCTCATCCATATCTCCTTATAGTCCTATCTGACCAACATTTAATTTGCACGCAAATTGTTGCTTAACCAGATAAGAGTCTCAAAGTTTTGAGATATAGTTTGCATCCCATTTATCTTATATAAAAACAATTCTTTATTAAAAGATAATTATTATGATAAAACCATAATAATATCTTTTAATAACAAAATTATCTTCATCTTTCCATCCGCCGATCTAGAACTATGCTCAACCAACGACTTTGATTGCTCGGGCCAATAGTATAAAATCGGGTCCAAACAATTTTATTTTATTTTGCAATTATATATTTTTAATGCTTTTATGTTTGTCTTTCCATGCTGGGAAATTGGAAACCTCTGGAAATAATATAGTTCTTGAGCTAATTTGAAGATTTTGTGTTGAATATTTTGATTCATTTTTTTCTATTTGCACTTAGAAAAACAGAGGATTATGGTTACTTATTGTGCTATGAAGCTTCTGTTTTTTCCTTTTATGCCCAAGATTGAATTTGTTCTCTCTGCTGTTGAAAAGTAGAACTCTCTCTATCTCAAAAAAATATGATCCAGTGTGAAGTTTGGTTGTCTCTCTCTCCAGAAACTTATATTCCATATTGCACCCATCAACTCTAATCATTCCTTGATCCAGTGTAATTTTTACGATATGTTTAACCTTAGACTTCTTTTCATGCCTGTCCTCCCTCTAAATCAACTGAGGATTCAAATCCAGCGGGTCCAGCTCAAGATATAGATAAAACAATTCCAACTCCTAAAAAGGTGTAATTTGTTAATCCCCTTTCCTTGGAGTTAATTTTTAGTGATGTGTTTTTAATAGAATTGCATATTTGAGTAGTGAGTTTTTTCAAGGGAACTTTAACAAAAACTTCTGGTACTGTTCACTTTAACGAATAACCACATTTTACACTAAAAAGTTAATCCTGATACTATTCACTTTACCCTTTATTTTGTCCTTATCTTTAAAACTCAATTTTCAAGTCCCTTTCTTTAGTTTTCCTTTTTTTCAATGGTGTTATTTTTTTAACAATTTATAATACTATATGTAAAATTTAGTTAGAATTTTTGACACACCCCGACTCGAATCAGGGCATGCTGGTCGTTACGTGAGGGTGACGTAGCCATATGCACAGTGCGGAAGCAATAATGATGATAGAGATACGAATAAATAAAAGCCAAATTCATAAGAGTAATAGCTAAGGTAAGTGCTAATAAATGTGTGAATACACAATCAGAGCATAAGTAGCCT